GCGATTGAAGTTTTGTGATGAACACGGGGATGAATAGTGATAACTCGAACGTTAACCAATTAATTTACAATTTTGGAAATATTAAAGATGTTAACTAAAAGACAAACGTGAAGCTTAACCATATAGCCCGGACAGCAATTGCATTATCGTGTACATAAGAAATTAACATTACCAAACAACTACACATACCGTGTGAGCCATAAAGCTGATAAGGGTAACCCTCCTTCTCATTTTAGTAGGGATTAGTGTCAAATATTTGTCATGTCTCAAGTGCAGTTTAATTTAGGATCAAGTGTAGTGGCAAAAGTAAGTTTACATAATCGACACCATAAGAGAACCGATCTGACTTCCACCGAAGAATGAACGACGTTTAAAACAGGATATTATGCTTTTCGGTTAGATGAAAAGACATTCTAGAGCCAGAGAAATACCTCTGTGAGACGGTGAATTTTTAGTTGCATTTCCAGCGCTCTTGCTGGCTGAGTTTGGCAAAGAGAAGATGCCTTACCGAAACGTGGCCCCCACAGTATTGGGGAATCGAAGAGTCAGGCGGCAGTGGGTTTGGAGTTGCATAGCTGGGTTGCCAGGGTAAAAAGGCGGCTTCAGCAGCCTTTACGAGCGAATCGTGGTTCACACCAACACCTGCTAGTACCATTCGTTCAGGTCTGTAGATAAAGGGAAAGCGATCATCAACTTGAAAATAAGCTAAATGTGCCTGTTCATAAATATAGTTAAATATAGGATAGGTAACTGTTCAATAAATACGAAGCGAATGTGTCCAGAACAATGTCGCTGAATGCTGGACTGTAAGATAAAGTGGCCGTGACAAGAGGCAACCGGATGGTTGGGTACTCCTTGGGCTAAAACAAACTGGAGTCAAAAGAAGGCAAAACAGCGCTTTTTGGGCTACTCCTGAGCCTAATACTCTGAACATGGACTAAAGAATCAGGAAGCAAGGCATAGAATATAGCATCATTTAATAAGCTGAGAGTGGTTAGTTATGACAGGTTTATCTAATGAAATAGGATTGGTCCTTTGCCAAAACGATGAGTGCTCTATTAAACTCGAAAACATACCCAATACAATTCCAAGTCATAATTAAGGGAAACAAGGGAAAGTCTCATACCTGAAAAGAGAGCTCAAGTAGTTGATGATATCAGTGCGTTGAATTTTGTCTAGATTGTCTTTGGGGCAGTAACGCGGAAGGCCGAGGGTATTGCTACCTCGATAGGCAGCCGTGTGAAGCAGTTCAGTGAGCAACGGCTCTACAGGAGGCGAGGCCTCTAAATTTGACAGTTCAAAACCAATGCTGCGCCGAGCAGTCTCAACTTCATCCAAAGTGATACGGGGTCGCTGGATCGTTTCTGAAATGGCTTGGCAGAGACGGTCCACATGCAAGGACACGCCGGAGACTGCGTAAGCGATGAAATCACTAAAATACCAATAAGGAAAAATGGTAAAACTCAATGGCGCATCTCGTCTTTCAGGCTACACAATTGCATGCATGGTGCTGAAAATGTGAGCGTAAGGGTAAAAATGTGTGAATAAAACGAGTGAATAGTTTGAACTAAAAAATGAATAATTAATGAACAAGCAACTTTATTAGTACAAATAACTTGATGGACTTAATGAGAATGCCTAGATTACTTGACTTCAGCAAGAATACAAATTTAAAGCTTTAATTACGCTATCAAAAAGCGCAGCAAACCCCCGAGTTTTAAAATACTTAAGTGTGACAAAAATGTGGCAAAATCGAATCAAATTAAATGCTTCTCGGTATCTAAGGTGATTATAAGAAACTATAGGTAAAGCGCGAGCTTTTCTAATTTGTATACAAAAAGTTTCAGTGTAAAAACTTTGAAGCAATATAAGCGTATGCTTTAGTTAATGCGAACTTATGCGCCTGTTAAAAGAGGAAAATCAAATCACATAATCAATGCTTCGAATGATCAAACATTACACAAGAATACCTTTCATTTTATGTAAAAGTATGGATGGACAGATCCTTAGGTTAACATAAGCAGAC